GAGAGAGAGAGAGAGAGAGAGAGGAGGAGGAGGGAGAGAGGGAGAGAGAGAGAGAGAGGGACAGAGAGAGAAAGAAGAAAAGGGTAAAGAATTCACTGGATCTTGAATTCATAAATGCTCATTTGTCTTAATACAATCAGAAGTGCAAACAAGAAAATAGCATTTGACTATACTAGAAGACATCTTTGATTGTGAGCAAAGCCTAATATTGATCCAATGTCAAATTCTTCAGTCCACCAACTATCTGTATATATTTCTTAATAAAGTAGGGAAGAATGGCTATGAGTAAGCAGCTTAATCCGATTTGAGTACTGTACATAAATGTATGAAATACTTTGATATAGGCCCTTGGAACAATTAGCATAGAGATACAGGCTGACCCATTGTAACAATGAGATGTACAAGACACTATGTTGAAAAACAAACTTTACAATTTAGGGGTTGGGAACTGTAGCTATGGAGGTGGGAGGGAACGCATGGTAAGGGAAAAGCGAAGGAGGAAGAAAGATTGCTTGAGTGGAAATGTATTCATTACTTTGCTCATGTAACTGTAACCCCTCTGTACAGTATTTTCACAATAAAAGACTTATTTTTAAAAATAACAGGAATGCATACAGATCCAGTACAGGGTGTGGGCGCTAGTGCAAAGAGGGAAGGCAAATGGAGATGATGAAGGAGGATGAATATAATCCAAATACTTGATGTACTTGCATGAAAATGGAACGATGGAGCTGGTGAAGGAGAGGGAGAGGGAAGCTATGGGAATGTCACAGAGGAGAGGGGGTGAGTGGGAACAAGGTACATTGTGTGCAGGTGTATAGAGGTCAAACAAAAGTCTTTAAGCAGCTAATAAAAATGAAAGGAGGAAGCTAATTTTTCATCATTTTAGCAGTTAACACAGTTTACACAATTATACAATATGGTGTTTGGAACAGACAATAGCCATATTGTTATAAAGATAGAATCTTCCAAAGTAAATAATATTTAATATTATCTTCAAAAAACCCACTTACATCAATGTCTATCAAGATACTCCAATATTCATCTTAATTACATTAGTCATCTTTCTTTGTAAATAGCATATGTTTGGCTGAAAGAGATAAATTACAAGCTAGAAATAAATCTCTTTAAAATCAAATTTGATTTTTCTGTCTTAATAGGTTCCTTAGCAGTTCTAATAGAAAGTATGAGACTGTTCTGTTTTCCTTAGATATTTAATTCATAAAAACTTAAATACCTATTGCTTTAGCATTTTTCATATTAGTAGAAAAATGTCTCATTCGTTAGAATATTTGTCAAAGTCTCATGTGGTGATGCCTTAATTCATTAATTATTGCTTTATTCTTTTATATATGCCAAATCCTACAGATTACATAATAAACTAAGTAAAAATATATTATTATTTTGATGTAAACTGCATTGCAAAAGCAGTCTCAAGCTAATTAAATATTAGTATAATTGTAGTACTTAATTTATCGTACTTTTTCTTTAATGTACTTTAATATTTAACAACAAAGAATACAAAGACAATGCTTAATGCTTTTATTTATTGAAATAATTTATGCAAATTTCATGATTTAAAAGCTTAATTATTCAATTGAAACTTTCTATAAATTGAGGGACAACATATTCAGTCATTTCACTTAATGTATAATTTCAATCTTTAGAACATGATGTATTGTTCTTTGAAGAATTTCATTAAAGTAAAATCCATTGAGCAAGTAAGATTTGAATACATTGTGTTTTACAATAAATTAATTTATTTCAACAGCTTAATTCTTTTATCATGTTTATATGCTTGCCTTTCCAGAATATTCTATAAGATGGAGAATAATGGAGACAGTAAAGAATTAGCAGAGAATCCCATAATTATTATTGAAGCAAAATAGATAATAGGTTTTAGTCAGACACAATAAAAGAGAAGTCATTGGATGTCTATAGGGAAGCTATGTAAACTGGATTTATCATTTCATTTGTGTAATACTCTTTGACCTCCAAGGCCTAAGAAGACCAGAGAGGAAAAATATTTAATTTACTACTTCAACACCCTGCTTTATAGTTCTACATCAACTCTACCAATCAATAAAATGCACTCTTTTGTAATGTTCCATCTTTATAAGATTCGCCACAATAATAAATGAAAATTTAAAGGGTGTCCTTTTTCACTGAAGAAAGGTCAAACTAGTGAACTAATGATAAGAGAATTACACTAAAGGCAGAGCTGTACCCACAAGAGTCATGGCTTCTGTGATCATTCTGAATCAAAGATGGAGTTCAAAATCAGTGTACTCTAAAATACTAAAATGTAAAATATTCAGTATTATGCATGTGATTAATTAAATATCTTACAATTTGCATTAATGCATGTGAACTTATTCATCATGCAAAAAATACCTTTTGGGTAAATTTAAACACCCCATTTTTCTAAACCGATACTTTAATTTAGTTTTAATTTGTTTTTCTCTTTGTAGTTCTTCTTACTTATAACTGTAGTTCAGTTAGAGATTATTCTCACTTGACATAAGACAGAAAAGGGGAAATAAGTATTTCTAATATTAAATAGATAATCTCAATACAACTTCTTGGTTTACAAAACTGATGAAATTGACTAGTACATTTTTTTTTCTTTTCATTCATTTCAGACTAAATTTATTACTGTGTCATAGTGTTTTCCCTCGATTTTCTGGAACATCTTTTCCTTCTGTACAATTTCCTCTTCTAGTCTAGGAACATTCTGGTCCTTGTCTCTCTCAGTGATGCAGACAACTCGTGTGTGAGTCAACTTGATCATGCTCTCTAAAAGCATAATAGTGCATCTGGGATACTGTGTTTACTTTGATTTGTTCACGAATGAGACAGTCTACACTAATGAACCTTTAGTTCAACATCATGCCCTGCATTTGTGAGCATGAGCAATTGAAATTCAGAACTGTTTGGGGGTCACTGACCCTGTGTCCAGCCCCATTGATTGGCCTAAGTACACATACCACCTCCACCATTGTAAGGCCAGAATAATACACGTTGACGCTTTTAAGTGACATGTTTCAGATTCTTGATAGCTTTCATATATGGATACTCTTGATAGTCTGGGAAGTTCCTCCCATGTTTTGAAGTGAACCCAAAGATTTGATGCCTTAATTTGAACAATTATGTGGAAGGTCCTAAGTCAAGAGGACAGGGGACTGTTTTAACTCGTCATCTTAGGCTCAGCACACACACACACACACACACACACACTTCCCAAACTCCTATACTTTAGGACAGGACTGACTGAAATTCATTTATTGAATGAACATTTCTCGGATGTCTATGCCCTGTCAGGAAAGCTAAGAAGGTAAATGTTGGAGGAGTGCAGTCACTTATGCTACATGAATGTGACATTTGAATCCCTTGCTCGGGAAAAGTGTGCTAAGAGGATACATTGTAGAACTGGGAAGCTGGATTCAAGAAAATGCTAAAAGGTTCCTCGAAGAGTCACGCATGCTGTGAGAACACTTATATCTGGCCCATGACCCAGCAGCCTTCCTCATAAAAGTCTTATTACTCAAACAGTCCTTAAACTGAGTCTCCAATGAATACTTTTAAAATTTATTTTGATAATGGACTTCAAGAAATACTCAATTTCACTCAAAGTGAAACTAGTAGAATACACAAAGATAATCTTAAAACAACTGTATTTTATTCTACATTGTCTTTTTAACAGTATTTCTAGGAGATAATTCAGGCAGCCTTGTAACTTTTCAGGACTCTAATCAGCAATATAAAGTTATCAGCAATATAAAGTTACATTAAGCCACAAGATGTAATTTTGACTCATGAGGTATAATTCATCACTAATTAATAACAATTAGCTTTGGTGGTGGTGGCAGTGGTGATATTGGTCATCATGAGGCTTGAACTTAGGACCTGAGCACTCTCTTTAAGCTTTTTACTCAAGACTAGTACTCAACCACTTTGAGCCATAGCTCTACTCTCAGTTTCTGGTGGTTAATTGGAAATAAGAATCTCATAGATTTTCCTGCTTGGGATTCTCAAATCTCAGCCTCCTGAGTAGCTAGGATTACAGTCACCAGCAACCAGACTAGCTTAATTCATTTTGGGTTAATTGAGGCTTAGATAGGCTTGTACATTTTTTACCTCTGTCTTGTGAGTTCAGGGATTACACACATGGGTCATGAGGCCCCATGCAATACAAACATCTTAATAAAAGGTAAAGGACAGGTGTGGTGTAACACACCTGTAATTCCAGCTTCTAGGAAGACAGAGACAAGGAAGAGCTTGGTTCAAAGCCAGCCCAATGCAAAAAGTTAGTAAGACAAACAAATTGGATGTGATGTTTCAGCTCTGTATTGGTAACTATGCTGAAGGGACTTGGTCCCAGGCTAGCCCAGGCATGAAGAATGAGACCTTACATGAAAAATAAAGTGAAAGAGGGCTAACTCAAGTGGTAGAATCCTGGCCACAAGCACAACAAAGATAGCTTGAGTTCAAAATCCATATTTGAATGATGGAGGCGGTGTGCAAGACTGCTTCCTTTCCACAACCAAGAGGAAAGGGTAGAGGAAAAAGGAAGGAGAGGTAGGTAAGTAAAGGTGAGTTTTCATCTGGTCAGTCTTATCATTCATTGGCATTACTCTGTATATGACAAATATTCAGTCTGCTTTCAAGTAGTAAGGCAGGCTGCATATTCTTAGAGGCTAAAGTAACAATGAAGGCATGGGTCTAAATTTTCATGGGTCATGTTTCTCTGCTCTTCAACTTCTTAAATAATAAGATCTGGAACCCTGACTCGAGTTTATTTGGCAGTGATCCTATACCACAGATGAAGTTGTGTGCTTCTCTCGGGAGGGTATCACATGTGCTTGGGTGTTTTGTTCGTTGCCAGCCACCACTGACGACAATGATCCAGATTCTGCACTTCATTAAGACTTGCAATGCAGTTATACCTCCATTCCTTACCCATTGATTTGCTAGAAAATTTCTATGACTGAGGTGTCCTGAGACTCAGTTTATGTTGTAAAGAACATGTGTTGAGTCTTGTTCACTTGATTCTCCTTTATTTAAACCTCTATTGGCTTCAAAAGAATCAATTCTTTAGCAGTCTACAAAAATGAAGGTTGAGTCCATGTTTTAGAAATGTTGTAACCTCACGATTAAAATGTGGGGTATGTGATTAAATATAGTGATCTATCCTTAGTGGTGACTGTGTAGTCATACCTTCTTTTTCTTGTTCAATTCTCTTCTATATTTAATGTCAATACTCAAACTAAAAACAATAATTATATAGAAAGGTATATAATATATACTATACATCATATACATATATTACCTATGTCTATATGGACAAAAATATGAATTTATATAAAATTGGTGGTTTTTAAATTTTGCAATATTCACTTTTATTACTTCATTTAGTTTACATAGCCACTGTAGGAGTGAATACTATAGTATTCATTTTTAGAGGTGGAATAGAATAGGAACGATTGAGCTACATGTTCAAGGTAACTTGCAAATAATTGGTAGACTTAAACCCTAAGGGTTGTTAGATTTGTCACACCTTAAATTTATAACACTACACAAAGGACCTCGTGCACCACACCTACATATATATGATTGCAAGAACAAGTATACATTAAACTATATCCTTTAATATCCTATGATCTCTCTATGAGAGAACTTAAACTAATCTTATCCCACTTAAATATTCTTCCATGGGATGGCTTAGTTCATGTGATTTTACTCATAATCTAATTACTATGAGTAAGAATTTTGAGTTAAAATTTACTGATGAGCTAAGACAACTGGAATAGGAAATGATAGCTAAAGATGAACATTCTAGAAGAATGTTATAGAAAACAAATACCTTAATTACAGATGTTTCAACTCTGGATGGAGGACTCTGCACTTGTGCTGCTGCAGCCATGTTAGCAATGGTGCTGAGGTGGTTCATCTGGCTCATTGCCATGGTGACTGAGGCTGGAGGTAGGCTGACAGGGATTAGAGGGTGGGGCATCATCATAAAAGGAAGTTCGAGTCCTATAAAAAGATGGCACAAATAACATCAGTGCTATAATCCCAAGTAAAAGTATGAAATATAGCATATCTCACTTATTAAAGTTGTCACCAAAAGAAGGCATTAACATCTGAAATGTCAAAACTAAGACAGGTATTTTTCCTCTCTGTGTAAACTAACACCCACTCACCACTCAGAAAAACTAGGCTTACAGCTCCTATTGCTGTCATAGTGCTGTCCTAGTGCACTTTCCTATGCTTACTACCAACAGCCCAGGGTGTGCCCTGTTGTCCCTCCAATCCATCTAAAATCTTGCTTGCTTAACATACCACATCTTTTTCTCCAAACTTGATTGTCTACATGTATCAGATCCTGTGATTATGTTATTTATTATTTGATCATTAAAGGGAAAAAACACATTTTTGAAGTCTACCATTTTTAGTGCTAAGAAACGCCGTCGTACCATTGGGCAGAAGGTGTCTGTGCTGAAGGTGGCTGAGAGGCTGGCTAACTGGTAGGCTACGCACTCCAGGTGTGCGGGGGTGGGAGACAGAGGCCTGCGGTCCCTGGGATGGGGGAGATTGCAGGGTTTCCTTATCCCAAGAACCATCATGGTTGCCTGTGGGGAATGAATATAAATTACTTGGATACAGTATTGCTCTGAATCTTCTAAGAAGTACTTTTTGAGATGGGGGTTTGAAAAGTGTACTGCAGTTGGCGATTGGCAAAATTGGATTTACAGGGAAGTAACTGGAAGTAAGAAAATGTCCCCTACACTGTATTATTTTGTTTTCATAATATTTAGAGGAGGATTCTGAATTTTTCAAAGAATATTCTGGTACACTCTCTGTGGTATACACACATGCATACTCTGTTGGTGTGTGCGCATGTTTTGCACTCTCGACTGAACACAGGGCTTTGAATGTGCTATGTGAGCACTCTACTTTGAGGCTCTCTCTCTTAATGTGTCTCCCTCCTTTCTCTTGACTTTCCACCCTCCCTTCACCTCTCTCCATATATTTTTTCCATATAATAGACTTGGAAACAGCAAAGATGGTAAAATTCCAATCTAATTCTTTAGCTCTACTAAAATCCTCATTGTAAAATCTCTCCAACATGGTTTTTAATGAAGAATACTTAGCTACTGCCATGATTCTTCTCCAGTCACTTGATGGAGACAGTTAAGGTTCAATATAAATTCAAACTCATTAGCTCAATACTGTCTGGATCTTAGAGTAAATTGTTCAGAAGTGGATAATGGAAATTCAATTCAAATTCTTCAGCAATCAAACAAAGCAATTTTATTAAACAATGAAAAGAATCAATTAAAATGGATATCTTTATTATCTTTATTATTTTACAAGAAACCATGACAGCTTTTGGTTAAAAAAATATTTTTACAGCTTCATACAGAAATGACTCACATAAAAGAAACTTCTCTAGTTGGTTCCTACCACTGTGATAGAAAGGCTCACTTTTACATTCTGCAAATTATACACCTTATTTCCCTACTTGTAACTTTGTGTATTGGGCATTCCTATTGCCAGGGATTCACTTGAGAGCTTTTTGCCTGCTAAGTATTTGCTCTACCACAGAGGTATATCCCCATCCTTACTACTGACAGCATCTCGCTATGTATCTCAGGCTGACCTTAAACTTTCAGCCCAAACAAGCCTGAGAACTTCACACCTTTCTTCAGCTTTCCAAGTGCTGGAATATAGGGACTATTATACTCAGTTCTGACATGCCTTTGGGTGACATTCATACTGGTTAAATAAGCAATTTCTTTCAAATTTCAAATGTATGTAATATCAAGAGAATATCATGAGTCACTTTGGTTATTTTTATGGTAGCTGGGTGCTAGTACCTCAAAGCTGTAATCCCAGAACTGCAGTTCAAGGGCAGTCCATGAGACTCCGTATCAACCAGAAACTAAAGGAGGCATTACAAGATGTTCATGCCAGCTACATGTGAGACAGATTGGGTGGACTGTGAACTTAGACAAAAAGAAAAAAAAGTGTCTGGAAGAATTCTCATGAGAATGTGGGCATGGTAGTGTGCGTCTTCCATCTTAACTATGGCAAGGAGCCTAAATAAGAGGGACAAAGCCCAGGCCAGATTATCGTATGACCCCATCTCAAAAATAACCAGAGCAAAAATGGTTGGAGGCATGGTTCAAGACATAAAGCACGTGTATAGCAAGTTGAAAGTCTTGAGTTCAAACTTCAGTACCACTGTCCAAATAGGGTGGGGGGAAGGCTTCACATTAACTTTGCCATCTCGCTATGTGCAAATTTTATAATTACATATTTATTCCATAAAATTAGTAAAATTTAAGATAGGAATAGAAGACACAATTCTGATGAAAACTTTGTGAAAATGGAAAATTTATTTTCTTCTTTCTTTTGCATCACAGAGCCTGTGTCTTTTTCTTTGTGTAAATAGCCATCATTTGTAAGGGTATTTTCCATATCAGGTTTCTAGCATTAGATTTCTTACCATTTAGAATGTTCCTGGCCATTTCCACCAATCATCATGTGTTAGTTAAATACTTATGAAGTTAGCTCATTTGGGCAATAAACAGAGCAAACAATTAAGAAACTAAGTCTGATGAAAAGTACTCAATATATAACCAAGTCACCTGTTAAGTGATTTTTGCATTATTTACCTTTCTTCTCTATTAGCATAAATGAATGAGAAACAAAAATAGGCTACTTCAGAACAAGACATTCCCACAATGATCAAATGTATGATTTGAATTGTCTTGTTTTAAGACCTCATATATCACCATAGAGGCCAGTGTATATTAGTGTCTACTCAGAAGCACATACATATTTCTACATACATATAGAGGAGATGGATAGAGGATGTGAGTGAAAGAGCGGGTGAGGTCCCTGGTGTACAATGTATGCATAATGTATGGACATGTATGGGTAATGACAAATCCCTTGTATAAGTGATGCATAACAATGAAAAGTATCTTAATTGAAATATAAAAAATGCAAATGATGGAAAGGTTGACATTGACTAAGAAGCCTTGTACTCATATCCTGACTTATAGATTTGTAAGCTCTTTCTACAACTACTTAATAATCAAGTTAAAAACACTGCTAAAAAATAGAAAATATATTTAAATATTATCCTTTATACCTCAGTGACATGCAATGAGTTGTTCAGATTTTCCCACAGCCTGACCTGATACAGGATGAAAATCTCAAAGGGACTGATGGTCACACTACTGCTGATGGAGTGACACTGATAGCTTGTGACAGCAACTCAACGTTGTCAAGATTCGTTTACAATGAAAATGATGGTGAGAGTGGGCACTTACTCCATACCATTGGAGACCACTTAGAAGGATGTCAACTCCATCTTAACAGTGGAAATAAGACTTCTATGTAAAAGGTAACCCTAGTCACAGGAAAAGCAGGCAAAAATAAATGACATCTTTCAGTGTATTAATTTCAATAAATATGAGATTTTAAATATCATCAGAATGTCAATGTTTCATACCAATATTAGAAATGACACATGACTTCTGTAATACAGTCTGCATTTATTCATTTAGTTTGCTTGTTTTTGTTAACTATGACAGCCTAGGTGAGCTGTTTTGGCATCTATAAATGCTGAAACATTTTAAGTTTGGTTTGGCTTCATCAAATTGTTTCATGAACAATATGGAAAAAAAATCATCCTTAACCTTAAGATTTACTTCATTTAATTTTAATTGATAAATGAAAGCTGTAGATATAATCTATTTTTAAGATCCAGTGTGATATATGTAGGTAATTCTAATCAGGGGCATAATCTAAACTGGAATAATTTGTGCTCCTTTTATGGGGAGGGGTTTTAAGTTTTAAACCTATTGCTAAGTGCAAGTTCTACCACCGCAATCTTCCTAAGAAAATTGCAATCTTTTAATTGAACCACTAATTAACAATCTAGTAAAGAACAAACTACAAGTGCCTTTTGATTGGCATTGTAAACCAATGCTCACAAAGTTGGTCATTTCCCAACTAAAAATTTAATTTACACACAAACCACGATGATTTTGAAGACAATAATTGTCTCCCATAATCATTTAACTCTCCTAATCTCTAATATCTTTAGCTAGTTGAGATATTTCTATTGGTCTATATACTCCATAAAGTTGTTGAGAACAGCAGTACATGAACACGCTGCACCAGTGACACACAAAGAATGGGAAGTACAATTGCTTATTTTTAAATTTTACTCAAATGTTCTTAGCTTAGTGATGCTCAAGTAAAAGGATTAGGAAGCGAGTAGTACAATCAGAGTGGGCACCAGACAGAACATATTTAGAAAGGACTTAATGATTAGCAGCTTATTACTAAATATATATAGTCTTTTATCTTGAGATCCATTGAAGAACTGTAGAAAACAAGAACAGTATTAGGAAATTTAAAATAGACATTAGTTTCAATTTTAAATAGTTTTGCTCCTGAATTTATAAAAATTACTAGTGTGGATTACTTTAGATAGAATGAAATACTTCAGTTATTTTTCCTAACTTCATACAAAATTCCAGAAAGTTTTGATGCATCTTAAGGAAGTGGAACCATTACTATAAAGATAGAAAGTCAAGCAGTCTAGGTGCAGAAGAAAGAGATAATTACATCAGAAAAAAATTATGTTTTGATGCTGTTGTTGTCTTTGGACTCATTAGCACCATGCTCTAAGTGTTAACCAGATAAAATAGATGCCTAAAATAAAACAAAACACATTCAGGCTAAGAATTAATAGATAATTGCTTCTTAGGATTTAGTCTAGGGAAGATATAGTAACCAGAAAAATTTGTATTGAGAAGTATTTTTGAGTGTCTTCACGATATTCATTAAAAACTGATTGAAAGTGAGATTTTAATGGTCTTGCTCAGTTGAAATGTTGCTGAGAACATACTGGTTAATTTCCATAGTTTATATTATTATAGACCATAGAGAGTATAGAAATGATCACCCCACGTACATAAGTAATCTTTCCAATCTAAAATATAATCAATCAT